TTAAAAATATAATTTGACTCCGAAACAAGAATTAACCGATCAGCTCTTACGGCTCTATTAATTTCCTGGAACAGTTACGACAGTCACGCATGCAACTGCTTCAGCTACATGTAGGACTACATCATAATCATTATCCTCTTGCTCAACCAGGTGATTGCTCCAATGGTGCTCAAAAGATGACACAAACCAAAATAATAATCACTTAAAACTTATAATCTATCTTCTCTTCACTCATACGTACGTATCACATTAACGTGAAAAGTTGTTATTCGCCTGATTCCAAGAATGTTGCGTGCTACACATTCGTACTTTCCTTGGTCAGTAGCGTTAATTTTTTCCATAACATATTCGCCATTGATGAAATAACTCAATAAAACACCATTGAAATGTAACTCAAGTATTGGGGGAGGCACACCATCCGCTTTACAGTAGAATGTCACTGGATGGCCTTCTATCGCCTTGACTTTAGTTGCGTTGGGTGTCAAAAGCGTGGTCCTTGGTTTATCTAGAAGCCAAAACAAAACATTAGTGAAAGTCATTGAAATAATTTAGGGGGAAGGTTCATCAAAACGACTATGCATAGTAGCGTTAGGACGTGGATTTAGAACTTGAACTGCAAAGCAAAAACAATCAGATGTTTTGAAGTTCATAGCTACCATTTTGCTGGTTGGTAAGCTGTTTCTGCTTGTTCTAAAGCCTCGCTACGGTTTACATTTTCTCAACATGTTTTTTCTCCAGATCTCGTGCCTTCTTAACTCTCTTTTTAACGCCTTTTACCCTTCTCTTTCCTTCTCTTACTTGCACTGTCATAACATACCGTAAAATTCCGAAAATAAGCCCCGGGGCTTATATTTTTCAAAGGCCCTTTTTGAGGGGCTTATATTCGGAGGGGCTTATATACGGAGGGAAATTTGCGTTTCAAAATCGATTGGGCTAGCCTTATAGTTGGAAGGAAATTTAACGTTTTTGGTTTGTTTTAGTTTATATTTGAGAGCAATTTTCCAAGTACAAGCCCCCGGGGGGCTTATACTTGGAGGGGCGATTTAACGGAGGGTTTTTGCGTTACCAGTTTGGGGGGCTTACATTTGGAGGGGCTTACACATGGAGGGGCTTATTTTCGGAATTTTACGGTAAATAGCCGAAATTAGTCAGGCTTACAGTTGACGGTCACAGTGGACGTAGCATCTGCTTCATATCCAATACCATTAATAGCGATGCACTTGTAAATTCCCGAGTCGGATTTACTGATATTTCTCACAATGAGGATGCCATCAAATGATGGGAGTTCGAGACGTATGAGTCCTCTGAATCTGAACCACTTGATACGTGGCTGAGGATTGCCAGTCGCGTTACAGAAAAGATGGAGGTCTGTTGTTTCATTCACTGTTTGACTTAGTGGTCCTCTGACAATACTTGCAGGATCTACAAGACGGTAAAGATCACATTAGCAGTGGATGCATATTGATCTGCATGAATTTATAAGGGAGATCATAAAATTTAGTTAGGAGGCGATGATCATATGCGATATACGAAGGATTAAAAATGACTAATGGACGCCGAAATATGTCGTACAGATTTCACGGAAATTTTACTTAAGCAGTACAAGATCTAATACGAACTTCATGAGACAGTCAGTGTCGCTAACGGCCCGAATTATATTTATGTATTATTATAAGAATATTCACTTATATTTTCCATTTATTTTTAAAATTGTTAGAAGAAAATGATATTCATCCGTTCAAAATAAAAGATTTTTGTATCCATTGTGATATAACTTAGGGTAGTAAACTTACAAAACACGCTGACGTGCATTACATGGAGTGCAGGTTTCCCAATGCCATTTGAGGCCGTGCACCTGTAGGTACCAGCCTCCGTTCGGTTAATATTCCTGATGATAAGCCTCTGACTAGAGGGATAAGAAAAATCGCTAAACCCTCCAATCTTTGACCACGTGACAATAGGAGCGGGAAAACCATCACTTTCACAAAGAAGGGTCATGTTTGTGCCTTCAGTGAAATTGTACCTTGTCGTAGACAATTTGATCGATGGTGCAACTGCAAGATTTAAAGAATAATTTAAAAAAAACAACGACATTATTGCAAAAACACAATTACGATGAAATTCAGTCTCCTAAACGACGAAGAAATCAGTGTAGACAATTTCTTTGACTTACATGTCACGAAATCAATGGAAGTTGCTAGCATTATATGTTGATTGCCTTGTTTTGCATTCATTCTTATTTAATTCCTCAGCTTTCCTAAATACTTCGAATAAATAAGACTAAATTTTGCCTATGAGAACTCCTTTAAGTGTTGTTGTCGACGGCCAATTCAAACACAAACGTTCATGGCCAAACACCTTACACCTATATAGACTTTAACAAAGTTACGTACTTACACTGAACAACTATCCTAACCGAAGATTCGGCTTTACCGAGTCCATTGTCAGCTGTGCACCTATATAAGCCTTTCTGTTTCCTGGTGATATTCTTTAGTTCTAGGGAAGAGCTCCAGCTGAGGACATTACCCACATCATCAGCTTTTGTCCACGTGACATTAGGAGGGGGTTTACCACTTGCAGTACACGACAGGGTTACATCATTAGTCTCGTTTAATGTTCTATTGCTTGAGATTGCCGATGTGATCGAAGGACGGGCTAGAATTCGCAAAAACAAAAGAAAAACACACAAATAATGGGAAAATACTAAAATACAAATGATCGCTTTTTAGGATTTTAGCAGCAAGCACAAGGTAGTAAAAAAGCCGTTGGCACTAAACTCATTATCATATATTGACGCTGACAACCTATGTACAGCATTGAACAGGGTCCGTGCGTCAGTACATCAGATCAAATCACGATTTTTTTTTCTAAAAATGGCGCACTCGGAATAAATGGTGATCAATTGTAATGGTGACTTGTCGGGATTCTCCTGATTGTACTTTAAAATCCCGGATCCTGACAAAAAATGCGATCGGGATAGGAAAAAGGATAGCATCCTAATTCTGAAACTTGTTCTGATATTTTAAAATGAATTTTTATGATGCTTGCACAAGAGCACCTAACATAGTCTACTTTAATTAACTGAAAATCAATACCCAGAAAACTTTAAATATACCACATGAAATATAAAATAGAATCGAGTACTTGTACTCGAAGCCACGCAAATTAAAATAAGCGTTAAAATGAGAATTGATGTAGCCTAAATTAAAGACAGAAAACATGCTCAAAGAACCCCCTTGAGGTGCACATCCTCGGATCTTGCGTGATTCGTCGGTGATTAAAAAAAATCTCGATTTTACGTACTCAAAAGGTTGACTAATCAGTCTGCGATTCCCAGTTGTTGGGCCTTCATAATTCTGTACGGACTATTTGCTGTGTAATTATTGCTCCAAAAAAGACAGCGCTGTTGACGGTGTTATTTTTATTTAGTGATTCATGTCTGGAAAACAACTGAAATAGGAAAGCAATTTAAGCGCCTTTAATCCATGACTAATTTTGAATACTGGTTGTAAAATCAGACCCTCATATTTAATCTTGGTGACCTATTTTCAGCGCAGTTGAAGTTGCAATGAAAACGATACTCGGTGGAATTTATGGTCATCGCGTTTAACTTATGAAATTGTCAAGTACACAAGCCAGTGAGTACTATAAGGTACATGCATTCGCTATCAAGTCACTTTTATTATATTACTCAATCAAACAAACGGGATTTCAAACAGGAGTTCTTTAGACGACACTGAGATCGAAGTCTGTTGACAAAGACATTTAAAATATTTTATTAGCCACAGCTTCAGAGCCCATAATTTTTCATTTGACCTTTGCCCAGTGAAAGCGAAAAACACAACATGCTCACGAACGCAGAGAACCGTTGAGACTGAAAATTGCAATGTGAGTACTAAGAATTGAGGACGAAACAGTTCAACACACCAGCTAAAACAAGATTTAATTCAAGCCTTCACGTAAATAAAACCAGATTGAAGAGCAGTACCTGCCATTTGTTAGTTACGCTGTATAAGCGCTGTATTAAGCTGAAAAAAAGAGCAGTTCTGTTCACTCAAATGAACGTCTGCTCATGTGGCGCTCTTTTGTTTGCTGTGAGGAGTTGTTCAAGTTGCTCAAGATTGTAGAAAATTATTTATCAGTTTAGTAAGATAACTAACAACACTGTTCCTTCCCGGGGTGCCCGCACAAAAGGCTCTCTTAGACTTTTTATATTATTTTATATTTGCGCGATGGACGGTTCATATCAAGATATAATAGTGACGCCAGCTATTCCTAAATATATCGTTGCACTTGCCGCCTTTAGATTCATACAGTAATTTATAAACAATTTGTCTGAAAAGATAGCACGTTGAAAACACCTTACCCAACAATTTAAGATGAGTGCAATTGAAGTGGGTATTTCCTTGTGATCCTCCTATGGCGTTTAATGTGTTAACTTTGCAGCAATATTTAGCTACGTCACCACTTTTCAGATTGATAAGAGTAAAGGATGGGGTTGCATTTCTCGCTAGTACAACACTTCCTACGTATGGCTCATACACGACTACTTTATCAGCCACATCGCTGTACATGATCATATCAGCCATGCCGTATTTAAGCAGCGTAAAGTAGTGAAGCTTGTGTGAGGCATCTGTTTTGAAACTCCATCTCAGAGTAACGTTTTCACCAAGAATTCCATAAACAGGATCTGAAGGTGCCTTATTCCACGTAAATGCTGAAAAAGAGAGCACATATTCTAGAACCTAAAATTGCTTTGCTAACGGTACTCGCCTTGTTAAATTCCTTGGTGATAACAATGTTGTAGAGCCTCAATAAATCCAACATTTACAAGGTACTATATAAAAGCCCAAACTAGAGGTTTACCTTGTATTTGCAAAAAGGAACTTACTACCGCTAACGTGGTCATTAAAGAGTACTTCCTTTTGAGTGAGAATAATTGAAAATGGTCAGCAAGCGCCATTTTGGATGAGATGGCGGAAACAACAATGCAAACAGTCAAGTTCATTTGTGGTCAGTTTTTATGAAAAGAAAAAAAAACTCCAGAGACACTTAACACCCTCTAATCCCCATTATAAGGTCGTAGCTGAGAATCTACATCCGATTAAAGAAATTTCAACTGGCATTGATCTAGGAAACATGTCAGATTGCATGCATACCCATCTGTTTTATTGTTGTTTGCTTCTTTGTTGTTGTTGTTGTTATTGTTGTTGTTTCACCGGGTCGCTTTTGCTATTTAATAGAAACATCGGCAGATTTTGCCTACAAATTATCTAGTAAGAGTATGTTTATTTTAGTGTTTGTGTTTCAAGTTGAAAAGTCACAGGTAGAAAGATCTGCATGTATTATAGACTTCTATTGATAAAAGGATGTTATGGCCAAATTTGGACCTGGTTACGTGGTGTTGTTGGCTTTTTGGGCCCTATGTGACAAGAATAAGGCTTTCTTCAAGGTTGTTATACTATGATTACCTCATTACAAATAAGACATGTCAGTAGAGAGGGATTTTAATTTACGCAGTACAACAATAGTAAATCAAGAGAGAACAGCAGGTCTGGGAGTCTCACAGTAGTCAAATTTCTTTATATATATTATGGACACTTAAGTACAATTTTTATCACGAAAACCGGCGATGTATTAAAACTAAACGTCCGTACAGGCGGACGTGGCCAAAAAACACGTGAAAGCCATGCAGAGCTTGTCTCCTCTTCTCGTACTTTCTGATGGTCGAGGATTTAAGGAAATAATTTGAACGTCTTTTCTAATCGGCTTTGTGGGTGAATGACCCAGAATTTAAGCCCTCTGTCTTCGAATTTTGAGATTAATTATTAGCATTGCAACCATTCCCTTATAAGGAATTGGCGCTAGTATTAAGACTTATAATTATTCCTCTTCCGAACAGCAAACAAAGTCGTAACTAAAGGTAACATGGCATGCAACTTGCATGCAAGTAAAGCTGCTCTTATGTCCTATTGGACCCGTCTATGACCTTCTCTGGTGGTCTTAGCTGGTTACTAGCATCGTGTAAAAGAATTGTTCAGACGTTCTGCTTCCGGCACTTTAAACTATTAAGCCGGCGGTGACCCATACCTTACACGAAAGCTTTTGGTATAAGGAAAAGAAATATGTGGAGTGATTTTAAAAATCTCTACGGCACGCATTTTTTGTAAAAGTATATCAGAAAATAGGACATTTTTTGCAGTGTAAATTTCATTCCGTTAAATTCTTATTTTCTCTCTCTCTATTTCTGAATTTTTTTTCGACATTAATAAAGTACCATATTAAAGCAATAAAAATAGGGGGTTCCCAGACTTGCTTTCTTGTCAAATGCTTCGAGATTTCACTAACTCCCACGCGTGTAAACTAAACTCTATAAGAACACCCGTCAGGTGACTCATGCGCTGTCTTGCCTACCGCTGCCTTTTTACTACAACGCTAACGTAACTACATATCATAATGGGTCTACAGATGAGGTCCCCTTACTTTTTTGTTTTCTTTAATTGTTTGAAAAACTAAGCTCTTAAAGGGACAGGTTCACGGTTCAGCGCAGGCTCATTAATTAAATTTCTTTTTTTCCAATTTATTATTAATTCTATCGGTTAATAACCCCACTGATATGTATCTCAGCGATCTCAGAGTGTATTTCAAAGTTTAAGTGTATTTCAGAGTAACCTTAAGTAGGATGGAGGAGTACTAAAATCGCAGAAAAATTAGTGGATTATGCCAACACTAGCAACGTTGAATTTATTGTTGACCCGAGGGTTTTATTCCATAGTAGATTAATTTACAGCTATTTGCACTAAGTTGATCAATTGACTGCCAGGCGAATGTGCAGATTGGTTTTCTTTGACAACATTATGACATGATCATATTGCTTTCATAGTCGATACAGCATGTCCCGCCAGAAAAATAGCATTTTGATTAATGAGCATGGACTGAACCGTGAACCTGTCCCTTTAAACTAGCATTTCAAGCATCTGTGCGAGAAACGATAATAAGAGTAAACTCAGATGACGATTACTGAGAATATACTAGTTATAGCTATAGCTAAGTGCCAACGAGCAAAGATTTCGGGAGCAGTGAAGCCACACACAGCTTTTTCGCCCTTATTGGGCCCACCAGCTTGGCACAGCCGTTGGATTAATAAACGGGGTAAACCCGTATCTCAAACACCCCTTACTGCCGAGGTGAGTGCAAAGCAGTCAATCAACCAGCTCCAGCTCCAGCTCCAGCTCCACACAACACATGTGGGAGCTGTTACCGGGGAAACGCAAAGCAGTTCCACCTCTACATGCGCGGGGATGGTGGATCACGAATTACCAGTAAATCAAAGCAAGGGGCACACATACACCAACCCACGGCCTCTCCATTACCTCACGCACGCACACAGCCGCACCATTTCCTGCAGAGGCGAGTCCTTTAAGTGCCAGTTCCACACAATACATGTGGGAGCTCTTGGCTGGGAACCGCACGGCAGCTCTCTTAAAGCTAACAAGATTT